TCCCAAGGTTTCAGAGAACTTGGTGGGACGATGGGAACAGTCTCAATCACGATCCGCGGGAATGGTGGAAGGATGATGATGGTATTGTGCTTGTAAATGATGTAGCACGTCGCAGTCGTAAGGGAGACATATGCTATGATGTATAGTAACTACCAGTTCAAGGAATGCAGTTGCATCTCATCCACCTCTTGCCCCGCATCGCGGCACAAATAGATCACAGACCACACACTGGAATAATGCTTGTCTTGTGTGCGGTGAGGTTGGAAAGTGTCTTGACACGATGCCATGATTTGTTCCGCGATATCTGCAATGTTATCCATCCTCCGGTTCACGGTCCGCTTCCGTTCGGAGATGCTGTCGTCCCAGGTTGCGCACTCAGCCTTCACCTTCTGCACCTCCTTAGCCAGTGCATCCGCAAGGAGTGTCACCCGCCGGACCATTTGCAACGTTGCCATTGAGTCGTCCATCTCCTGCTCGATTTCATCTATGCGTTCTACCAGCCTTTGCTCCCTGGAATACTCGTCTTCTTCACCAGCGTCATGGTCATGGGCAGGCTGCCGGCGGATGACCCGCTTGGGAATGCGCAACATGGCAAACGCTGCATAAACCATTGCTTGAATGCCATTCCGTGCTATCTTCATCCGCCTCCTGACGCGCATGTTGACGTCCCTCGTAAGCTCGTCGCCTTCATCGTCAGAGTCCAGGCGATCGTCAGCTCGGTCGTATTGTTCCTGGATCATGTCCTCCAGGGCTGATGCAAAGGGTGATTGTGGAGCAACTGTGAAGATTAGGTGAGTAAGTAACGATCCAACTTCATCGCACGGACCACCGACAGTGGTGAAGGACTTGCCTTTGTTGTTGAGCTCAATAGTGCCTGTGAATTTCGTCGTGCCCTCGGATATTCCAGCCATACTCAACATGGGTGGTGTTCGCGAGTGAGTTGGTGATGTGAATAGATATATATTTGATGGTGTTGTAGAGAATGTTGGATATTGTGTCGCCTTTTCAGGGCCTTGGAATTTATAGTCAATGAGAGATGCCCACAGGTGGATGATCATGAGTGGGCCGTAGTTGTATAGTCACGGATTGAATGCCCACGGTCATGATGCTGATGCTTACCAATCGTGTCTTCAGATTTCCAACAAGTCCGTCCGGTGCCTGCGCGACCAACGTATCCATTTGCGGACGGCCAAACGATTAATTAGGTCAGTCGTCCATCTCCTGGTCGATTGCATCCATGTGCGACTTTAGGGCTGGTATGGTGCGATGTTTTGAGTTTCGAAGCATGACGAGGCAGAAGACGTAGAGTGAATGGATGCTGAACTAAGACGGAACATACAGACTGACTGACGAGACGAGCTGCGTAGGATAAACGTAACCAACCTCAATGAGGCTTGCGCGTTTGGAACGGCCATAGATGCGTTGGCAGTCGAGTGGGTGCCAGTGCGGCTAAACGTGTTTCATATCATTCTGCATGACCTCATTCTGATTACTCTTTTGCGATGCATATGTAGTTTCATGATGTAATCAAGCTTCAGGGGAAACACATGCGTGGTTTCACGACACATTGCATGTCGTTGTATTGTTCTGAATCGATGATCGCTTATTTGATGGCCTTATTAGCGAACATGCATGGCGCATGCGTGGTTTCACGACACATTGCACGCCGTTGTATTTCTCTGGATCAATGATCGCTTATTTCATACCCTCACTGGAATTATAAAAGGGGGTGGTGTGCGTGCCAGCAGCTTCGCCGTTCGTTCTAACAGAATCTCGCCGTGATCCCTTCGCTTTGCAACAGGTATGGAAAACACTGATCATCGATCAGCAGTCGCCTTCGATGTCGAGGTTTGTCAATCCCTCCATCCACGTAAAGGCTGAGGACGAAAAAACAGGTCTCCTCCAACACCCAGCCACCCATGGATGCCCTAATCATCAAATTGTGTACGGATGGTGACATAGTCCCTCTAATCCACAAGGCTTTGGAGGATGAGGCCGCGCAGATGCATGATCCATTGCAAGGTTGGGATCTAGGGCAAGTCCTTCATAGAGGCTTCAGTGAAGGGCCTGGAGTTCTGGCACCCGAACATGACGTCCATGAAGACAGCGAAGTCGAGATGCAAGGGGGCTCCACTCCACATAGGAATGGAACCCATAAACAGAAAGGGAAACGAGCTCGTCGTCGACTGCAGCGCGCCCGAGATGTGACAATCTACAAGCAAAGGTCTAAGCTAGCCAGCAGACACATTGCAAAGTCGATCGCCAGCAAAGTCTTGGTGAAATGCCTACCAATCGCTCGAGGAGGGTACATTGGGAAGCTGCGTGAGTCTCGCTGCAAGGCCGTTCAAGAGCTTGACTGCCTGCTGCAACGGGGATTCAAAGTTGTAGAATGGGATGGACGGTAGGTTATATATGTTAGCTTATTCCACGAGGCAGGCTCATCGATGGATGTGACAGCACCCCTCATGTTTTGTTGGACAAGGAAGAACGGATCATCGGCGTCCTTGCTGGACAACCCAAGGACGATCGCTGGCACGATACGGTAGCTGCAGCCTGCACTGCAATGAAGGATGCAAGGGACTGTTGCGTCTTCACCGATGATGACATGAAGCACCGAAGAGGTGCCTATCCTTGCCTTGCCGTCGGAGTGTCATTTGGGGGCGGTCAACAGGTGATTGTGGACGAGATGCTTGGCCGGATGAGCCGCTAGCTCAACGATGCAGATTCCAGGAAATCTTGTGCACGCCAAGGGAAACCAAGACGCACTTCAATCCCTCCTGGAACACAAGGCCATTCAAAGGCTTGCGGGGTTTGCAAATAGTAAGCAGCCGCCTGTAGCATGGGATGTACTGACCCATGCCCACAGGCATGCTATACCATTATTCGCCCAAAGTGTATGAGTTATATTCCAACACCAGGAGATCGCTCTTGGAAAAGCAGCCAGGTTTGGCATGGAACTTTCGAAACAGCGTGTTCCCTGCAGCAACATTCAACTTCGGTCCTACCGTGGTGACTTTGGATCACACGGATAACCTGAATTTCGCCAGCGGCATGTGCAGCATCACCGCCCTAGGCGACTATGACCCTACCATGGGTGGACACTTGATTCTGTTTGACCTAGGGCTCATTGTCCAGTTTCCACCTGGATCCACCATCATCATCCCCTCAGCAATCCTGCAGTCATGGCAATGTGCCCATCGCCTCAGGAGAAAAACGCCAGTCCTTCACTCAGTACTTTGCGGGAGGGTTGATTAGGTGGGTTGACTATGGGTTCCAGACTGAAGCCAATTTTAAGCGGGAGAGTCCTGAACTATGGCTGGCAGCCATGCATGGGCGTCAGAATAGGGTTGAGGAGGCGGCAGGATATTTCTCCAAAGCTCAAGACTTGTGTAAGGATCCAAGTCCTCAAATTTGATACATTGTGGAACCACTTTAACTACTCTAATCAACTTAATGCATTGCGCCATACACGTACATGAGTGAGGACGGCTGCACTGTCTTTAAAAGTTCCAGGTAGCGAGGGCAATGGCGCACAGAAAAGTCAGAGCCCCATGGCCCCTGCTTCACACCGTAGTGCCTGGCTAGGCCCAGCGGAAGTTCTGCAGGGGAGTGAGAGATGAATCTAGGACGATTATGTGCCTCCAACCGCCAGACCTTGCAGAGCACTCCCAGTATTATTAGAAGGCCTAATCAAGGTGCAGGGGGGGTGCCATATAAAGCAAGAATGAGTCCCAGCAGCAACCCCTCCCAGGCAGTACAGCCCAGGAATGCTCAGCCTGGTAAAGGGCGGAGGGGGCGCTGCCCCGCCTAACACAACTCTGGAGTACACCAGATGCACCCGCCATGACAGGCAGGCGTGTGCTAGACGGTTGGGACTGTAGACGGATAACCCCGTTAGAAGCAGGACGGACATGATGAAGGGCGTGGCAACAAGAATGACGCAAAGGTCCCAGCAGCAACCCCTCCCAGGCAGTACAGCCCAAGAATGCTCAGCCTAGTAAAGGGCGGAGGGGGCGCCGCCCCGCCTAACATAACTCTGGAGTACACCAGATGCACCCGCCATGACAGGCAGGCGTATGTTAGACGGTTGGGACTGCAGACCAATACATAGACGCAGACCAAACCCCATTAAAAGCAGAACTGACTTGCTTGAGTCACAGAAGGCGGGGCGACAACAATGACATTGAAGTCCCAGCAACAACCCCTCCCGGGCAGTACAGCCCAGGAATGCTCAGCCTGGTAAAGGGCGGAGGGGGCGCCGCCCCGCCTAACATAACTCTGGAGTACACCAGATGCACCCGCCATGACAGGCAGGCGTATGTTAGACGGTTGGGACTTCAGACCAACGCAGACGCAGGCCGAATCCTATTAGAAGTAGAGTGAGTGGCAAGGGGACTTACTTTTTCAAGCATATTATAGGCGGGTGGCGCGCGTGATTTGGACAGATGCAGAAGTAAGGAGCAAAGAAACAAAGCAACAACACGCAAAGAAAGAAACAAAGAAACAAAGAAACAAAGGTAGAGAGAGAGGGAGGGAGAAACTAACAAAAAACCACGACCAAACAAGGGCTTGTAGATGGTTGCAGAGAGAAAGAAAGAACGAACGAAAGAAAGAAAAATCAACCACGACCAAACAAGGCCAGACAAACAAACAAACAAACAAACAAACAAACAAACAAACAAACAAACAAGCAAACCTCGATCACGTGACATATCAATCACCATCGATCATCGCGTGGTTAGCGCATTATTTATGGGGAAATCGTTCTTTCCTGCCGGGAGATTGGGGTCCGGTGTGATTTGTCACGTTTAGTCCAATAAATATCACTATATAACAAATGAGATGCAAGGAAATTCACGTCCACTGCGACGAACAATGGTCGGTCCGAACACGTGTATTCTTACCAAGGGTTGTGGCAACGCCGCATCGGGTATAAAACAAAACACGGCCATTTATACCATGCTTCTTTCTTTCCTTCCATCATTCCATTTCTCCACACCATGCCTCCTAAGAAAAACAGTAAATCTACAGCAGGTGGACACTTCTCAGGAATTACTCGCGCAGGGCCGGGAACCGTCGACATTGGCAGCATGGTGCCTCAGCACAGCATTGCTGGGACGTCTGTCCAGATGCCCAGCGACCTAGGCCATGATGGGCAGGTGGTCAGATCCACCGAAGCCCGTTCCCTTACCACAGCCGTGTCGTCCGGCGTCCAACAAACTCAGGCCAGTGGAAAATCCAACAATCCCTCATCCCACGCCATAAACATCGGCAATTACTGCCACTTCTGTTGCGACCACATCCAACGACCATACTGCCACGAATGCGTCGATTGCGGCGGCATCATGTGCCAACAGTCCGTTCCTCGGGGCAGCGGCTGCATCTATTACGGAACGGTGGATACCACCAAGGACTTTCGCTGCCCGATTTGTGCTAGGACCGCAGCTAACAAGGACGCTCCGCTGCCCTACGCCGTCCTGGGATACTGGATACGGAAGAAAGTTAAGATGGCCTGGCCCATGGCAATCGTCAGCCTGAGCCTGGAGTCCCTGAAAGACGACTACCTAGCATCGACGGTGAGATGTGAGGTAGAGTATCACTACAGGGATAATCGCGAGAATGTAGGTGTAACTAACGTGACTTCGACGCAATGCTGAACATTCTGTATTCTTAGCTGTTCGTGAAAGAGTTGCACATGCGCGCGGGTGCGCATGTGACCCAGTCCAGGAAGCTTGCTGAAGGCGTTAGCTTCATGAAACGTAATGTTGAAGCCGGATTTCCCCCCAACACATTCGTAATCGTCGACACCCATTCCGACGAGTACAGCGGAATGCTCCAGCACACTGGAGGGCACACCGGCGGCACCAACACCACGATCACAGAAATCGTGACCGCGTACCTCGGCGAGGAGTTCCTGAAAGGCACGGCAAACGCTTCGCTTGCTGCAAGCAGTGACGAAACCGTCGTCACCACAAAGGCAGGCAAAGAGCCTTGGTGCAAGCTCACCCCAAACGCCAGAGGGGCAGAAGAGTGCTGATGCTGGTGAGCTGCGGCCCTGCGATCAGGGTTCACCATCACTTCGAATCCGTGGTAAAGCTGGTGGATAAGTAAGTCTCGTCTTCTGATACATCCACCACTCGCTCACCTCACCGTCCCTCAGAGACATGTTCGATTTCGTGCTGGGTTCGGTGGATCAGGGACGTTGCCGTCCTTCGTATCAACAATCGTGAGATCTCTCGTTGTCGAGTTTGGGGTGTTCGGAGGCACAGACGTCTGGGCGTCGTTTTGCGACTTGATCGC